CAGTGGTTCCCAACCCTGGTCCTGGAGGCCTGCACATTTTGCACATTTTGCATGTCTCCTTTCTCTGACACACCAATTTCAGGGCTTGGAGCAGTGGTTGGTCCTGGAGACTGCACATTTTGCATGTCTCCTTTCTCTGACACACCAATTTCAGGGCTTGGAGCAGTGGTTCCCAACCCTGGTCCTGGAGGCACCCCAACACTGCACATTTTGCATGTCTCCTTAATCAAACACACCTGATTCAGGTCATCAGCTCATTAGTAGAGACTCCAAGACCTGAAATTGGTGTGTCAGAGAAAGGAGACATGCAAAAAGTGCAGTGTTGGGGTGCCTCCAGGACCAGGGTTGGGAACCTCTGGTTTACGCTAATGCAGTGCTCAGAATGCAACATAGTACTTGCGCATTTCAGAAAATGGTGATTAATTAAAACAAGCTAAAAATGTTTGTGCTGGAAAAAAAAAGAAAATTTTGTGGTTTTGACTTCGCTGGCTCCACATGGGGTCAAATGCATTTAACAGTAACTTTTGTGTTTAATCCAAACCTCTTTTAATTAAAGTTAATGCATCTACAGACACACTTGGTTGTCCCACCCAATTTTTATTTTTATGTTATGGACTGAAAATGTTAACCTTGAAGACTATATCATAGAATCCAGAACTAAAGAGAATGGAATGTGTGTGACATTTGCAAGGGTCATTTTATGAAGCAGTTATTGACTTTTTAGGTATTTTGTACATTTGTCGGCTATTACATGGGTCACTAATATAATTGTTTAAATGTATAAATATGATAGTATAGAAAGATAAAGAAAAAGGAAGAAAAAATAAAAGCTTGGATTAACCCAAGAAGAAGTGAAATGTCAATATTGCCCCACTCGCAGAAACCAAAACTCACCTTCTACTACTAAACATGTCATGTGTTGCAGCACTGCAAGTTGGATATTTCCGTGAAAAAAAGGGATGGGTCATATGTGAAATAGCCACAATTGCCATGAAATGAAAAGTTTGTGGCAAAGTAGTCAATGTTTTGTTGAATGTTCACTAAAAGAAATGCAGCGTATTAGCTACTCTTAACTAGTCGATGTCATTGGCGGTCTGTGACTGCTGCTTTATTTTTATCATTTCCCCTTTGTCTTAGCTCTACCAAACCCATTTCAAACAATGTTACGTGTTTTGATCAATCCATGTTGCTGTTTTATTATTATTGGTCTGGGTTTTTTTTTTCATCTTTTCCCCATTTTTCTTTTTCAAAGTGTCTTTTTTGTTAAAGAAAAAATTACTTTGCCACAATGTTTCATGGAATGGGAAATGGTATTTGCACTTGAAATTTGTTTATGGTCATGTAAAAAATGTCTGGATTTTGTATTTTCTTTTTAAATGAAAGAAATTGGTGTTCTTAAAGTTGTCCATTTTGATTTCTTTACATGTATACAGAAAAAAAGTCACCGAAACACAGAAGCAAAAAATAAGATTCAAATAAAGGTACATAATAATAATAATAGTAAATAATAAAAGTATCCACAATGCAGTAGAGTACTGTCACCTATAGCTAAACTTGTCCCTTTATTATTTCGGCGTTAAAAATGACCAAAGTGTATGTTAATATTTGTCATACTAATATTAAATATGACAATAAAATATATTTATATTGATTTATAATTGTACATTTTACAAGGTCGTTGTTATAGGCACAGCAGTGTAGGTACTCGCCTGCAGTCTCAGACATCAGCCGTGATTAGCTAAACAGAATAGCATAGCCTCGAGGATATTCATAAAAATAATTCATAAAGTAGTTACGAGAGTAAAATATTAAGGACATAAATTAATACATCTTTTTTTACTAATATATTACGAATAGATCACCCGAAAATAACATCACCTTTCTGTCATAAACTATGGCCGACTTTCTTCCGTGGATTGTATACAATCACTTCGCATGTCATTAATATTAATATCAAATCAACAACTCAATTACATAAGATTAAGCATTAAAACAGTTCTTTCATACCTCAAAATAAGTTTTTGTAGAAAACGCCTCAGACGACCTCTGCTGTTCCCGCTATGCATACATACTCAGAACTGAACTGCGCGTGCGTGAAGCGTCGACGTGTTCCCCCACCCCCATGTAGTTAGTGTTTTTCCGTTTCTAACCCTAAACACTTTTTTTTTAACGGGATTGAAATACTGAAACATTCAAACGCTAACCACTTTCCATTTTTATTTTATGAGTTTAGGATAAAGCACACTTTATCACAGAAGTAGCCATACAGTATATATGGATTTTTTTTCTTTTGGTAACATTAGGCTAGTTGCTTACTGCCAATTTTGTGCAAATTAAATAACCAAGCTTTTCTGGTCTCAATTCTCGTTGTTGTTTTTTTTACACAATGTTCTTTGTCTTTTTCATATATACCTGTATATATAAAAAAAAAAAAAAAACGAAAACAAGCTATAAAAATAGTATCCATAATGCTGTAGAGTAACAGAAAATATATAAATATAAAATATTAATTGTAAAAAAAAAAAAAAAAAAACGAAAACAAGCTATAAAAATAGTATCCATAATGCTGTAGAGTAACAGAAAATATATAAATATAAAATATTAATTGTAAAAAAAAAAAAAAAAACTGCTACTTTTGCAACAATAAATAGTCTGAGTACATACTAAATAGTGTTCTGCTCATTTTAATTAAATACAGTGAACAGAAATAAGCTTAATTATGACTTTGCGACAGCCAGCTGTATTGTTTCTTTCAGTTGAATATTTGTTTGTTTCATCGCTCCATGTGCAGATTTCTACACACATTCTGGAAGTTTTGGAATCCATTCCCCATCTGGGCCACAGGTGACAAAACTCTCTCCCATAAGCCTTAAACCAGGATTGCAGGCGATTGTCACGGTGTTCCCGAATTTATAGACCGGCCTAAAACCCCTCATTCTTGATCCACCTGGCACATGTGGGTTAGGACAGAAAGTGCCTGAAAAGCACAACAAATAGTGTAAATTAATTTATGCATTCATGTCTGACAATTAATTTGAGAGAACATACTAATGTAAATTTTGTGATAAAAGGACCACAGAAATATTTGATTGTATATACACAAATACATTATATATATACTGTATACAGGTGCATCTCAATAAATTAAAATGTCGTGGAAACGTTCATTTATTTCAGTAATTCAACTGTTGAGGTAGTGAATTGGTGGGTTTTTGTTAAATGTGAGCCAAAATCATCACAATTAAAAGAACCAAAGACTTAAACTACTTCAGTCTGAGTGCATTGAATTTATTTAATACACGAGTTTCACAATTTGAGTTGAATTACTGAAATAAATTAACTTTTCCACGACATTCTAATTTATTGAGATGCACCTGTATATATTGTTGCCAACATTAGGCATTTTACTTTCTATGTATTATATTTTACAGAAATATAAAAGTCAATAAACAGTGAATAAAGTAAATAAGTAAATTAAAATAAAGTTAATAAAATAAATAAAAGGCAGATAAATAAAATCAATAAAAAGGAACAAGTAAATAAAATAAATATATAAAATACAAAAATAACTTAAATATAAATCGAAAATAAAAAAAAATACAAAGTAAATACATAAAATCAATAGAAAGTAAAAAAAAAAATAAAAAAAAAAAAGATTACAAATTAAACAAGTAAATAAAATTTCTCCAGAGAGTTAAAAAGAAACTATGAGCCCTTTATGAATATATGGCCACCAAATCACCATTGTGCAGAGCAGAAACTAGTTATAGTTAGTAGATAGTTTTAACCTATCTTACCCTACCTGAAAACCTAAAATATCTTGAAATACATCTTGAAACTATATAGTCTTATGGTCAATATTCAATGACCACTCTTTATATGTGCACCTTATATGTGTACCTTTGCACTCAGGAGGAGGAGCGCTCCAGGTGCCGCTCTTGGTGCAGTAAATATCTCTCTCACCGATCAGAGCTCCAGTATGGCAGTGATAGGACAACACGTGACCGAAGGGAACATGGTCATATATGGGGTCAAACATCTCAGCGCCCTTGACCTCTGGAGGTGGAGGACAGTGCACAGCTGCAAAACACACATATATCATCCATCTATGAGACAGATGTAGTGTCTGTGTACAGTAGCAAGCTAAATCATAGGCATTTTGTTTGCAACATTGGAAATCAAGCTATACAACATTAACAAAACATTAGCAAAATCTCAGAAAACAGTCATACGTTCACACACAGGGCTCCTTCTGTCCCAGCCTCCATCCCTGCAGATCTGCACTTTTGGGCCGATCAGCTCATACCTAACGAGAGCCATAAAAAAAAAAAAAAAAGGGGGATGAATGTCTAATAACATGACACCAGCATCTTGGCTTTTGGCATTTTTAAAAACAGGGGTTTCACGGTGATGCCATAGAAGAACCATATTGGTTCCCCAAACCAAACAACTCCAGTCCATCAATTAAAGGGGTCATATGATGCAATTAAAATTTTTCCTTTCTCTTTGGAGTGTTACAAGCTCTTGGTGCATAAAGAAGATCTGTAAAGTTGCAAAGACTAAAGTCTCAAATCCAAAGAGATATTCTTTATAAAAGTTAAGAGTCAACCACGCCTACCTAAAACGCCTCGTTCTAACACGCCCCCACATATCTACATCACTATGTGGGAAGATTTGCATAACGCCACCCAAATGTTCACGCAAAGAAAGAAGGTGTAAC